GAAGAACTTGTAACATTCCGCCAGAATTTAATTCTTCGTATTATTAGTTGACACTGGGCAGCTTGCACATAATTCAATAAATAGAGTTGTTTAAAGAATAGACCATTCCAAGCATTTACTTGTTGTTAAACAAATGTTTAAACAACTCTATTTATTGAATTATGTGCAAGCTGCCCAGTGTCAACTAATAATACGAAGAATTAAATTCTGGCGGAATGTTACAAGTTCTTCAAATACCTATAGAATGATAGGTTTATTTTTTGTGAGTGTAAAACACTTAAATATAGCATTTCGATACCTCACTAATACAAAGGCTTGGTTTGGTCTGAAGTTTCATTGGTGGTAGTTAGTGTCCAGGGTCATTGATGAGGAGTGGAATTCTCCGAAACTAGTCTGGTTCATAGACACCCCCCCCCCCCCAATGAAAGAATAGACCATTCCAAGCTTTTACTTGTTGTTAAACAAATCTGTGTTTATTCTAATAACATCCTCGTTACTAACGAAGTTAAAACAAGGAAAAAAACAGTTCACTTACATGCATTCGAGAACCAGGTTCTTAATATTACAGAGTCTTATTCTTGGTTACTTTTATATGGCAATTGAGATAGTTCTTATATAAATGACTTATTTCTGATTATTGCTTAGTGTTTTTGGTGACGTTATGCATCCATACAGCATAATGACTTTGAGCTTTATACACTGGATACAAGAAATTCACAATTACTTAATTAATAGATATACAGTGTAACATATACAGCATAACAGAATATTGATTGAACTTCATTAGCTAACGGAAATGTTGAGTCAACTATACATAGGTATAAAATTTAGGCGAAGAAAAGTGTTACGTCTGTTCTTTGTTATTAATTAATTTTAATAAAAGGCACTTACATTTAAATAATTAATATTAATTACATTAATATATTGGCCTTATTTCTGCTCTGTTTATTACAATCATTTTACTTTTCTCCGAGACATTTTACCTATAATCTTACTACTGTGTATCCATCATCCAGACATGGCTGGATCGATTACCGTAATATTTGGTAACTAGAAACTGTTTGATGGTGTACGTGGGTTATTTTGTTTTAGGATTTTTGCTCGAGAAGAGGAATAAAAACACACTGAAATAGGTCACATTTTCATTTTTGTATAAACTTTGGGCTTTGAATTTAAAGACACACGTACGTAATTAGTTAAATGAGTCAATGATTTTCTTCCACAAAGGAGGTTATGCAACTAGCATCTAATGAAGTCATTAGGGATTTAATAACAAAAGAAAGAATGAAGGGAAACATTGTTTAACATTGTCCTTTATACAGTTTTTGCTTCCTTAACAGGTACTATCAGCTAGTAAGTGGAAAATTAAAATAATAATTAAAGTCTGTCATATTTTTAAACCAATCTGCCCCCAGTGGCACAGCGGCATGTCTGCGGACTTACAACGCTAGAAACCGGGTTTCGATACCCGTGGTGGGCAGAGCACAGATAGCCCTTTGTGTAGCTTTGCGCTTAACTACAAAAAACAACAATAAACCGACCTATCGTAATAAATTGAATAAACGGTTTCAAATTTGATGTTGGTTTCAAAATATGATGACTATAAGTTTAATGAAATATACCTAACGATGAAGACGTGGGCTGTTTGAAAATTTCGAAAAATGCTAATGAGGACATGATATGGCAAAACAATTCTAATGAGGATTATGGGATACTCACTTTCCACTTAAAAGAATGGACAGTTGTTCATCAGCCACAGTCATTCCTTCTGTACCGTAATGTTCCCCAGGTTTCAGTGATAAAATCTCTGCGCAGCCTACCAAGTCTTTAAAATTTTTTTTGTCAACTTTGAGCGGTGTGAAGACTTTGTTGTACAACTCCAGCAACTCTGGATGAATTCTAGGTGGAATGTTGATATAAGCTAGGAAAATTGTGTGAAAAAAATTTGTCAACATAAAAGTCACATTCCACGCAAAGATATCTGGAGCACAGATGTTGACACCAGCCCATAATGTGACGAACAGGAACCCAATAGTTAAGACCCCACGCATGAGCAGTACACTAAGTCGAAATTTTGGCGGGACTAGAAATGCCACAGCAAAACACAAGTTGGCTATCTGGAAGAGCACGTGTTGAGCGTCTTCCCATTCCTCACAGTTCTGGCCTCCTCGATCCGTTTTGTTAGTGGACGTTGTCCACGTAAAGTTAGGGTTGCTGATGTTTTCCATCTAGAAGATCTGGAGAACCATCCAATTATCATTGGATAACATTTCACTGCTTCATCCACTCTGTCCTTGTATTCTACAAAAATGGAAAAAAAAATGTATTACTTAAATTATTAAACAGTAATTATGCAGTATTAAAAAAGCATATTAAAGTGTTTGTAAACCTGAGAAATGAGTAATTTATTGAGCAAGGTCAACTACTGTAAGACAAGATAGCAGATAATAATAATAATATAATAATAAAATCTTGAGCTATTTGAAAAAAAGATAATTATTTTTCATGAAGAGTAAAAGGACGCAACTAAGAAATTTTGAATTGCTTAATCCATTAGAAAAAAACGTTAACATCATATATTTTATATTTGTTACAATGTCCATGGTTCATTAGTTTTAAACTAAAGATAACCGAGAACATCGATTTCCTTTTTCAATGTCTGCGGACTTACAATTCTAGAGTCCGGATTTCGATACCCGTAGTGAGCAGAGCACAGATAGCCCATTGTGTAGCTTTGTGCATAACTTCAAACAAACAAACAAACATACTCTTAAAGGCCCCCTAGTGGCACAGCGGTATGTCTGCGGACTTACAACGCTACAAACCGGGTTTCGATACCCGTGGTGGGCAGAGCACAGATAGCCTATTGTGCAGCTTTGTGCTTAACTTCAAACAAACAAATCATTTTTTTAATAGATGAATTTTAGTATTTATTCAATACAAACAACATATACTTTTCATATCAAACTTTTATTAGTGCATCGGTTATTGCACAGTGTCCAATTTCGAAAGCTTTAACTTTATGTACTGATAAAGAAAAAAATCTATCAACTGTTGTATAATTGACTTATTAAGGTTTGGGTCGATAATACCCATTTTCAAACTTGGTACAAAGTTTGAGTATTTGTCATCTTATTACACAGGCCTGCGAATTTGAAATTCATAAAAGTTGTTTTGGTTTTAACGACGGATTGTCCGTAATTCAGCTACGCAGATTTTGAAAATAATAATATTATTTTTTTTTTCTGTAACGTAAGGATTTTTACAAATCGGGAAGAAAAAAACAACTCTTACTTAGATCAAATTCTTATTTCGTTTAACACAATGAACAGTTTTTATTATTATGTTTGTTAACAAAAATACAAACAAACTGAAAAAAAAAGAAAGAACATTGATGTCAAACGAATATGCATCCTCATTCATCCTGA